TTTGGGCCGTCCTCCACTGCTTTCCCAGGCCACAGGCAGGGAGCTGGATGGGAAGTGGAGCTGCTGGGATTAGAACCGGCGACCATATGGGATCCTGGCACATGCAAGGCGAGGACTTTTAAGTCTCTAGGCCATGGCGCTGGGCCCAAGAAATTATCTTAATATGAAAAATAGAGACTGGTGGTGTGGCTTGTCAGGTAAAGCTACTGCCTACAGTGCTGAATGCCATAGGACACAGGTTCAAGTCCCGGCTGCTGCACTGCTGATCCAGCTCCCTGCTTGTGGCCTGGGGAAACAGTGGAGGACGGCCCAAGTGCATCAACCCCTATACCCACAGGGCGACCTGGAAGAAGCTCCTGGCCCCGCCATGGCTGTTGTAGCTACCTGGGGAGTGAACCGACAGCTAGATTTCTCTCTCTGTTTCTCTAACCCTGGCTTTCAAATAAATAAAATAAATTCTTTAAAAATGAAATAGGAAGAAGGTGACATCCTGTCTTAGCTGAATAAAATCCCTGTGGAAGTGAGCTCACCCCTTCCAGGCTGGAATGGCATCCTGGAGGGGCATCTGCCCCAAGTCCTGGGCTGGGCTCCTGGGAGGAGACACAAGGCCAGCGTGGCAGGGCTGCAGGGTCCAAGCACCAAGCACCTCGAGGCCTGACCTCACCCCCAAGGCCCTTCTGCCTGCACCCGTGCACAAGGGTGGGCAGGGAGAGGGGAGGTAGATTATCTGCTGCCAAGGGACCACCAACCACAGGAGAGGTGCATTCCTGCAGATTCCCAAGGCAAGAAGTCCAGAATGAGGGTGTGAGGGCCACTCTGCCAGAGGGCCTGGGGCTACCTGCTGCCCATCCTGGGTGCCTGGACTTGGGACAGCGTCCCCCGGGTGTCTCTGTGAGGGCCCAGTCCCTCTAAGTCAGCATGGTCACAATAACTCCTGGCAGGTGCACCGCACACGGGGTGACGTGATCCGTGAGGGGATGGCCCTGTAGGGTCCTGCTTCCTGTGGCTGCAGCATGGAGGCCCAGTTCTCCCCTGAACCCACGCACCTGAGATGCTCCTCACTGAGTTGCCTCAGGGGGCCCCAGGCAGGCATGATGTGCTTCACCCCTGCCTCCATCATCATCATCATCCTCCTCCCCCCCTGCACGTTGGTCTTGGACATGTGCTGGTCCCTCTGCGAGGTGTGCTTCACCCCTGCCGTCTCCTTCCTCCTGTCCCTCCTCCCCTGCCTCATCCCTCTTCACTAGGGTCCTGAGATTCGTGCAGCTGTGCAGCCCCCCCCACACCAGGTTTCCCCCGCGGCCCCTGGCACTTGACTTGCCTTTCGCCCCTCCAGCATCTCCCCACTGCCAGCTTCCACGCGTGGCCGCCTACAGAGGCAGTGCATGTGAGAGCTGCGGGGCAGCCCTTGCAGCTGAGAGGCCCAGACGGACCACACAGTGGACCCCTCTGCCCTTGGGGGTGTCTGGGGAGTTGGGTTTCTGATCATCTGTGAGGGCAGCTGCCTAACACCCACAGGCCCGAGTCTGTGAGTGCAGCCCTTGTGTCACCTGGCGGTTAGGGAGGTGAGACCTCGCTGGTTCCTGTGATACATGCAGGTACAACTTCTCTCACCCTCCCTTTGACAGCTTTCCTCATTATTTTCAAGTTGAGTTCCAGAGAACAGTGGCAGAGAGAGCTTTTCTGTCCACTGACTCACCCCCGAAAGCGGCCACAGCAGTCAGGGTGGGGCCAGGCGAAGCCAGGAGCCAGGGGATGACCCAAGCACCTGTGTCGTCGGAAGCTCGACTTCTCATCCAACTTCCTGCTAGTGTACCTGGGAGAGCACTTGGGGCCGCAGCCACGTGGCTAGCCCGGATGGAGCTCCTGGCTCGTCCTGGATGTTATCGCCTTTGAGGGCTGATTATCTGTTGTTGTTGCCATTGTTGAGTTTTTAACTTTCTTTATCTGAGGGTTTACATTTGAAAGATCTTATAGGGAGAGGAGAGATAGATCTTCCATCCACTGGTTTACTCCACAGCAACCAGGACTGAGCTAACCCAAAGCTGGGAGCCAGGAGCCAGAGCCTCCTGTGGGTCTCCCATGTAGGTGCAGGGGCCCAAGCACTTGAGCCGTCTTCTGCTGCTTTCCCAGGCCACAAGCAGGGAGCTGGATGGGAAGTGGAGCAGCCGGGATTTGAACTGGCACCCATATGGCATCCTGATCATGCAAGGTGAGGATTTAGCCACTAGGCTATCACACTGGGCCCTGAACGTGTTTAATAAAAGCCTGCTGTGCTGCTTTGCATCATGCCAGGGCGTGAGCTCACTGCCTCTGTGCCCGCAGCCCCGGACACATCCATGTTTGTCCTCTGCAAGCACTGGGCAGTCTCCTCACCACGGCCCTGCACCTCCCCAGCTACCGACAGTGTCTGTCTGCTGTCTCCTGACATCTTTTCAAGCATTTTGGCCACTTACGTTCTTGAGCTGTTTGGGTTTTTTTGTTGTTGTTACTGAGTTTTGAGGATGCTTCAGAATTCAAATCCTCTGTCAGGAATGCGTTTTCAGATTTCAGTGTGTGTGCATATGTGTGAGTGTGTACTTCCCCCCTATTTTCACAACCTTTAAAGAGTCATTCGTTTGAGTGACACTGGCTCACCTCCCAAGTGTTTGCATTGCCAGGGCTGGGCCAGCTGAAGTCAGGAGCTCCCTCTGGGTCTGCTGCATGGGTGCAGGGGGCCGCTTTGGCCATCCTTTGCCAGCTATCAGCTGGCCTGGAGGGGGCCGTGTCCCATGTTGGAGTCTGCGTCCCTTCTGCCTGGCCCAGCAGTCCCCTGCTAGGACTTGTCCCCTGGCTGAGCCTCCCGCCAGCAGGGCGTTTCTCGCCTGGGCGTAGGCCTTGGTGTCGCTGCCTCACTGATCTGCAGCGTGTGTTAGGGTTCTCCTGACTCCGCTGCGCTGGAGCCTCGTGCTGGGCTGCATGGCGAGCTCTTGTCTGTGCCTCCATTGGTTCTGGAAGTTTCCAGGTCGGCGGTCTGCACCTGTGCAGCAGCGCCACCTGCTGATGGCCAGGGCGGCACCTTGTTCGCCCTCTGGACCGGTTAAGATGCCGCCTCTTCTTGCTGAGGTGTTTGCCGGGCACAGGGGTCAGATGGCCTCACAGGTAGGTCGTATCAATCGGTTTTCCAGCGTTGAACTGACTTGGCATTCCTGGGACAAACCTGCTTGGCCAAAGTGTGTTTTCCATGCGTCTTGCTGAGCTGACATCTGTTGGTGGGTTCACCTGTCTTAGTTCATGTCTACACGGAAGCTCAGGGGCTGGGAAGGCAACGCAGGAAGTTCTGCTGGACTTGCAGTGTGCCCCCGGCGCCCACGCTGCCTTGCCCTGCCCGCCTGCACTTGCCCTGTGCTCACCAGCAAAGCAGTGTGGTGGCTGTGTGCAGGGGTCTTCAGCTGGACCCCGCTGGAGTGGGGCCAGCCTGCATGCCTGCATTCCTGCACCCGCTGCCCCGGGTCGGGCGTCCAGTGCTCGGGAGAGCGGATTGCTGGGCTGCCTGTAGCTCACAACTGCAGAGAAATGAAAGAGTGGGAATAATTATTATCCACTACCGTTGCTTTTAATAAATATTTACTTTTAAAAAGATTTATTTTTATTAAGAAAGGCAGGTATACACAGAGGAGAAAAGACAGAGAAATATCCTCCATCCACTGATTCACTTCTCAAATGGCCACAGCGGCCAGAGCTGAGCCGATCTGAAGCCAGGAGCCATGCACCTCCTCCAGGTCTCGCATGCAAAGGCAGAAGCCTAAAGCCTTGAACCATCCTCCACCATGTTCCCGGGCCACAAGCAGGGAGTTGGATGGGAAGCCGGGACTGGAACAGGCGTATGGCAGCACTTGCAGGTGGAGGGTTGACCAGATCCCTCCTTGATCTGTAAGTAATTGAAATTACACACAAAGGCGCAGATGTTATTTCAAGTGTATGGATTTTATAAACAATTGGAAGACACTGTATTAGAACTAAGACTGCAGGCCTAGCACGGTGGCCTAGCGGCTAAAGTCCTCACCTTGAACATGTTGGGATCCCACATGGGCACCAGTTCTAATCCCGGCGGCCCAGCTTCCCATCCAGCTCCTGCTTGTGGCCTGGGAAAGCAGTGGAGGACGGCCCAAAGGGCCCTATACCCGCGTGGGAGACCTGGAGGGAGCCCTGGCCTCCTGGCTTCAGACCGGCTCAGTTCTGGCTGTTGCGGCCGCTTGGGGAGTGAATCATTGGAGGGAACATCTTTCTTTGTGTCTCCCCTCCTCTCTGTTCATCTGCCCTTCTAATAAAAATAAATAAATCTTAAAGAAAAAGAACTAAGACCACATCAATGTCATGAACAATGAGAGGAAGTCACGGGTCAATGCTGAGCGTGATGATGAGGCGGAGTGGCCCCCATGGCTGCCCGTGGACAGTGAGACTGGGGGGATGGTGTTGTACTTTGGGGATGGTCAACAGACTTGGCGCCTCTGTTCTAGATCGGGGGGCCCCGGGCACATGGGTGGGCTGGGAACTGGCTCCTTGGTGGACGACTTGAGGGCCACAGTGGACACAGGATCCCACAGGTGACCTCACTCTACAGGTTCTGCTGGCCTTGCCACAGCCAGCAGGGCATCCTGGCTCAAGCTAGCCACCTCTGGATGGGGCCCCTGTGGTCACAAGGCATCCTTCCAGGCACCAACCAGATGGGCCTCCTGACTGCTCCTGTGGGTGGAAGATGCCCGGGTCCCCTGTTGCCCGCTGTGTTGAAGGGAAACCCCAAGTTCAGAGGTGCCCAACTGCCCAGGCAAAGGTCTTGGTGATGGGGGCGTGGGTATTGGGGAAAGGCCTCCCCAGCGGGCAGGATTTGAGGAGCCCACAGGTGCAGTCCTGTCCACCTGCCCAGTGGGCTGGAACCCTCTTCTCGCTGTGTTGTCACCTTCATAGAGTGACCGGGAGGCCCTGTCAGGCGACCCCTTCTCAGTGCCCTCCCTCCGCAGGCATTGGCTGTAGGACCACCACCATCCTGCTGGACGGCCGCCGGGTGAAGCTGCAGCTCTGGTGAGTGGGCCCTGTGGGAGGCGGGGACCCACTAGGAGCCCCTGCGAACCCAGACCTGGCCGGGGCCATGAAGGAGGGCCTCGTTCCTGAGCCGATGTCGGGGACTAGCACCTGATGACCAGACCCAGGCAGCCTGGGGTCCATCCACAACCTGCCACTGGCCCCGCATTGCTGGCCACTGCACCTGCTCTTGCCCACTGCAGACCCTGGCAGGAGTGGGAGGGGAGGGAGCTGGAGGCCAGACTGCCCTCTGCCCCGTGAGCCCTGAGGAGTCGATGACCAGGGCAGGAGCCAGAGGCCGCCTGCTCTGACTGGCCAGCCCATTAAACCCATCGCCAGCCTGGCTGGGCCACTCCTTGGGTCCCCCTCACTCCTCTCGTGTCTGCCCCCTCCTCCCATATCTACCTCCCTGCTCCCGTGTCTGTCCCCTCCCGTGTCTGTCCCCTCCCGTGTCTGCCCCCTCCTCTCGTGTCTGCCCCCTCCTCTCGTGTCTGCCCCCTCGCGTGTCTGCCCCCTCCTCCTGTGTCTGCCCCCTCCTCCTGTGTCTGCCCCCTCCTCTCGTGTCTGCCCCCTCCTCCCATGTCTGCCCCCTCCTCCCATATCTACCCCCCTCCTCCCGCGTCTGTCCCCTCCCATGTCTGCCCCCTCCTCCCGTGTCTGCCCCCCTCCTCCTGTGTCTGCCCCCTCCTCCCATATCTACCCCCCTGCTCCCGTGTCTGCCCCCTCCTCCTGTGTCTGCACCCCCTCTTCCTATGTCTGCCCCACCTCCTCTAATGTCTGCGCCCCCTCCTGTGTCTCCTTGCTCCTCTGTATCTTCCACTGTGTGTGGAGTTGGGCCCCACACCTTTGACCGTGGCCTGTGTGACCATCGCTGGTCCCTGTCTGTCACTGGGTGAAGACTCTGGGAACATTCCCCAGTTCCTTCTTCCTCAACCTGGTCCTTGTGGGATTGGCGCCCCACCAAGGGCTGCAAGCTGCAGATGGAAGCTGAGTGCTGGGTGCTGCAAGCCCCCGGGATGCGCTAGCAGAGCTGGCTCAGGGAGAGTTCCTGGGTGCTCACTGAGGCCCTCCGCCCGCTTGGCCGTCTGTGCCAGTCACAGCCTCACAGCACAGCTCTGTCTCCCAGGAACTGGGGGTTAGAGGCCAACAGATTGACCGAGCTCTCTGGAAGTCATTGTGACTCCCAGTTTTAAAAGCTTGACGCTTCAAGTGACAGACAAGGGGGTGGCCCCATGAGGACACCCCGACACCCAGGTCATTCCCAGGGACCTGGTGGCCATGCTGGGGCCTTAGGCTCTTGGGGAGGCGGGAAGTGCTAGCCGCAGTGGCAGCTGATGTCGGGAGGAGGGTGTGCCTCCGTGACCCCTACCGTGTCTTTTCCAGGGATGCGTCAGGCCAGGGGAGGTTCTGCACCATCTTCCGCTCCTACTCGCGGGGCGCACAGGTAACCGCAGCCTGGCTGGGAGCAGTGATGCAGGCTGCCCAGCCTCCTCCTGTGTGCTGGGAGCGTGGAGGCACACTGTTGCATTGGGCAACTAGAGCTTTCTTGAGTCTCTGGGACCTGTGTGCACCGTGCGCGCCTGCAGGCAGACGCATGCGCACGTGCGTGCACTCTGAGCACTTGATGTGCATCTGCGTGCGGCTCTGCCCTGTGCACGGGAGCAGCATGAGTGCCTGCATGCACCTGTGTGTGCATCCATCCCTGTGGGTGGCCCTGGCTCCTCCCGCACTTCTCCCTGCCCACTCCCCGCGTCACCTTGACGTGTGGGAGCATGTCAGGAGCCCGTGGAGTATCACTGAACAAGACCAGCCAGGTGGCCGTCCACTCACACGAGCTGGACCGAGTGCTGCCATGTGACCCGGGCCGGGTGGCTCCCGTGTCCTGCATGGTAAGCCTGGTCTCTCTCCGCAGGGTGTGATCCTGGTGTTTGACATCGCAAATCGCTGGTCTTTCGATGGCATCAATCGGTGGATTAAGGAGATTGATGAGGTATGCCTGGCGATGCTGCTCCCCCCCGTGGGCCTGGGGGTCGGGCCAGGAGACCTGACACAGCCAGGACGGTGTGTTAGTGCAGGTGCTGGGCTGGCCAAGGCCTCCAGAGGCGCGGTGGGCCCTGCCTAGGCCCAGCAGCATGGAGGAGCCTTCTGCCATGGCTGGGTGGCTGACAGGCAGGGACTGCAGCTTCTGTGCCACGCAAATGGCTCACACGGCAGGGAGCCGCACACACGGAAATTTACCCTCCCAGTCTGGAACCAGTCCGATGCGGTGTCAGAAGGGTGTCCCCCGACCCTGTGTCTCCAGGGTCCCCTGGGATCTTAATAATGTCCCCCACCAGGCTCTGCCTCCATCCTCACTGCATACTCTCCCTGAGGGTCTGTAGAGCCCCCTAGATGCTCTACAGAGAGTATCAGGGTGAGCTCTAGATCAGGATGACCCCCAGTGAGGTGACTCCCCCCAGTGAGGTGACTCCCCCCAGTGAGGTGACTCCCAGATCAGGGTAACCCCTAGTTCTAGCATGATGACCCCTAGATCAGGGTGACCCCTCTTTCAGGGTGACCCTATTTCCAAATCAGATTTCTTTCTGCACTTTTTTGAGAGGGACCTATGGGGCATGGGGGCTGTTTGAACCAGCCCCTCCTGGTGCCAGGTCAAGGCGTCTCACGGAACCCTGGCTTCTCTGTCCATAGCACGCCCCTGGTGTCCCTAAGATCCTGGTGGGGAACCGATTGCATCTGGCCTTCAAGCGGCAGGTGCCCACAGAGCAGGCCCGGGCTTACGCAGAGCGCCTGGGGGTGACCTTCTTTGAGGTCAGCCCCCTGTGCAATTTCAACATCACTGAGTCCTTCACGGAGCTGGCCAGGACCGTGCTGCTGCGGCACGGGATGGACCGGCTCTGGCGGCCGAGCAGAGGTAAGTGTCCATGCATTGCCCCATGCTGCAGCCTCTGCCGTCCCACCTCCCTGGACCTGCCTCAAGGCCACCACGTCCCTCCTACAGGGTCATTGCCCAGATAACCTTGCCTACTGTGGCTTGGCTGCTGGACCTGCGAGGGCCACTGCTGCCCCCAGAGGGAGGGGGCCAGGGGGGCGCTGCTCCCTCGAGGTCAGCCCCTTGCAACAGGGCACTCAGCCTGGCTGTCTTTTCCTCTCCCGAGTCCTGAGCCTGCAGGACCTGTGCTGCCGCGCGGTGGTATCCTGCACACCTGTGCACCTGGTGGACAAGCTGCCGCTGCCCATCGCCTTACGGAGCCACCTGAAGTCATTCTCCATGGCCAACGGCCTAAACGCCAGGATGATGCACGGCCGCTCCTTCTCCCTCACGGCCGGCGCTGCCCACACGAGGAAGGGCCTCCGCAAGGGCCTGCGGTCCCCACAAAGCCCCCCCCAAAACTGCCCGAGAAACAGCTGCAAGATCTCTTGAGGATGGCACCCAAAGCACAGAGCTGGGATCTCCCAGGAAGAGGTGGAAGTTTCTGGAATGCCTTTACAGTTGCTCGGAGCAGTGTGCTGGGTGCCTTGTGGGCAAGGAGGCACGTTGCGGCCCGACTGGTGCTTCTGTGGGGGTGTGCATGCCTTCAACGTGTGTCTAAAAACAGCTCTGGTCCTTCCTCTGAACCTGACTGCGTCACAGCGCCGTTCAGCATCTCTCTACAAACAGCTGCTTCTCTGGGGTGGTGTGTGTGCCTAGCAGAAACCTGGGGCCCCAGGGAAGTGGGGTTGGGGAGCCATTTCCAGGCAGCACAAGAGGGCCTTTTTTCACGTCTGTGCACCGGTTTGATGCTGCGACTGCGCCTGGAGCGTGGCATGGCGGAGACCCCTCCAGGGGCATGGTGTGGAATGCATTTGATAACATTTTTTGCTATGTTCTTTACTACATTTTGGGATCAATAAGTGATTTATATGCATATTTTTCTGACTCTGCTTTTTCCCTCAAGATGAAGCTAAGGGGAAAAAAATGGCCAAGATGGGTTTGGTTAGTGCTGAGCTCAGCCTCAGGGCTGCAGGAAGTCGGGGAGCAAGCGGATTCAGAGAGACGCGGCGAGAAGACGATGCTGCAACAGAAACACCTCACAGCGAGCACGTGCCGCCCTCCTGGGGCATTGCTGCCTCGGCTGGCGTAGGCCTCGCACTCGGGGACAGCACGGCAGTATCGAGGCTTGGTTCTCAAAGTGTTACCCACTGAGAGCGAAACCTGTTTCTCAGAGTTAATGCTGAGTGACAAAAGGGGGTATTAAAGAGTTGGCGGCAGCATGCTCGTGTCTGATTCTCTTGAACCCCAAGCACCCCAGAAGGTCATCCTAGAGAGTGGGCTCTGCCAAGCCACCAGGCATGGTGCCCACCAGGCATGCTGCTCGGCATGCATGCGCACGTGTGAGCGAGAGCGGGGCTTCTTACAGGCATTCTATGTGTGTGAGAGAGCGAGTGAGCGAGCCAGGGCTTCCCACACAGGCTCCAGCAGCATACCTCAAGCTGCACGTGAAGAGACTCTGAGACACTGAGATGTCCCTGGTCCCTGCTCAGGGTCCATAGAGTAGAAAGTCCAGGGTCCCTAGGTTCTGGAGCAAGAGCTTTCTCTGCAGGTGGGGGGTTGGAGGTGAGGAGCGAGGTCCCCAAAGCTGAGCCAGGCTGTGAGGTCTCCAGCCAGCCACCTGTGGGGCAGGGGCTCTCAGCAGAGCCCATGGCTGTGGGGATGGCACCTCTGTGGGCAAGCTTCTCCCAGACAGATACAGAGCAGGGACCCCGTTGATGACCAGGACCCGAGTAAGCAGAGGGGTGCCCGCTGACCGCTGTGGCACCTTGCTGTGGCCATGGCAGGCCAGGCCACACAATCATGTTTGCATGGCAGCCCCTTGGGGAGAGGGGCAGGGCTGCTGCTGGCCCAGCATGCAAGCCACCTCAGCCCCCACCCATAAAAGATTCCAGGGCCCCTCAGGGCTTTGTGGGTGGGGCGGTCCACATCCTGAGAATGGGGTTCTGGAGTGGTAGGACGTGTCAGCCTTGAGCTCCAGTGGAAATCCAGCACCCCCTGCAGCCTGCACTGCTGGCAAAACACACTAGAATGGAAAAGCATTGGCTTAGCTGCGCATGTTGTGCTGTGGTGGCTGCTAGCTGCATTTCCTAGTTAGATCTTAGAGATCTTCCATCGTTGGTCCACTCCACCATGGCCAGGACTGTGCCAGGCTGTAGCCAGGAGCTTCTTGGGGTGTCTCCTGTGGGGCTGGATTGGAAGTAGAGTACCTGGGATCCAATTCAGTTCCCATATGAAATGCCAACAGTGCAGGTGGCTGCTTGCCACATGGTGCCACAGCACCAGCTCTCTGTAACCTTTGATGACACTACACGAGGCACAGCATTTGAGGGGCAGGTCTAAATTAGCTCTAATGACATCCGCCAATCAAGACCCTCCACCTTGGCCTGGTGCGATAGTGCAGCAGCTAAAGTCTTCGCCTGAATGTGCCAGGATCCATATGGGCGCCGGTTCGTATCCCGGCAGCCCCACTTCCCTTCCCACTCCCTGCCTGTGGCCTGGGAAAGCAGTCGAGGACTGCCCAAAGCCTTGGGACCCTGTATCCACTGGTTCCTGGCTTTGGATCAGCACAGCTCCGGCTGTTGCGGCGGCTTGGGGAGTGAATCAGTGGATGGAAGACCTTCCTCTCTGTCTCTCCTCCTCTCTGTTTATCTGACTTTCTAATACAAATAACTCCCCCCACCGGCCGCAACAAAAAAAGAAAAGAAAGAAAAAAGAAAATAGCATGGACTTGCTCCCTTGTTGGGAAGCCCAGAGTGCCCTGCGCAGGTTAGGGCGAGCAGGATTGGCTCCTGGGGCTCATGCAGACACTCCAACCCCAAGGTCTCCCACTCATTTCTGGTGCTTGCTGGGGTGAAGGTGGATATTTGGGCCACAGACATGTCCACGAGGCCTGGAGGGCAGTCACAGGAGGGCAGACTGGCTGGCTGAGTTCTGCACTGCCTCTGCCGCCCTCCGAGGGGACAAACCCATCTTCAGAGACCTGGGAGCCACCTTCTTCCCCAGAGACACTGCTGGTAGTGATGGCAACAACAAACACAGCAGACCCAACCAGGTGTGGCTGGAGTCCGGTGGGGTCCTGGCTCCACCTGTGCCCGGCCACTCGGGAGTCAATCAGAGTTCATTTTCTCTCTCTCTGTCCCTTTCAAATGAAATAAAAAGTAAAATCATTAATAGACCGAGAGCCAGCATGGTGCCACAGAGGGCCAAGCCTCTGCCTGAGACGCCCCATCCCACAAGCCCCAGCTTAGGATGCAGCAGGTCTGAAGGGAGGGCAGGGGGGTGAAGCGTTAGAGACCGGTTGCGGACACAAGAAGGACAGGGTGCGGGAAGGACGGAGGGGGGGGTTTCCCGGGGTGCGGGAACAGGAAGGACGGAGACCAGGTGCAGGAACAGGAAGGACAGAGGGCCGGGGTGCGGGAACAGGAAGGATGGGGGCCGGGGGTGCGGGAACAGGAAGGATGGAGGCCGGGGGTGCAGGAACAGGAAGGATGGAGGCCCAGGGTGCGGGAACAGGAAGGACAGAGGGCCGGGGTGCGGGAACAGGAAGGATGGGGGCCCGGGGTGCGGAAACGGGGAGGGACGGAGGCCCGGGGTGCGGGAACCAGAACGATTCTTTAGTTTCCGTGCCCTTCCTCAGGGCGGGCCCAAGTGACGCGAGGCTCCGCCCTCCGTGTGGCCACGCCCACCAACACAATGACCACGCCCTCCAAGGGCCCTCCCCGCCCACTCACGACCACGCCCTCCAAGGGCCTTCCTCTTGTCCCATAGACACGCTGTCCAGGGCCCCGCCCCTTTAGGCTCCGCCCCCGCCCGGATAAGCTCAGAGCTCCGGCCCCCTCTTCCCCGCTGCGGTTGGATGCATTCGGCGCTCCGCAGGCTCCCTACGCCGACGCTCGCGCGCGCACGCAGCACTTCCGGCCGCGGCGGCCAGGGCGCCGTCCCCGGTGGCGGAGCGGGATGCAGCGCTGAGGGCGGACGGCGCCATGAACCTGCTGCCGTGCAACCCGCACGGGAACGGGCTACTGTACGCAGGCTTCAATCAGGACCACGGTGAGGGGCGGCCAAGCCCGCGGGATACCGGGACCCCGGGCCTCCAACCCCGGGAGCGGCCTGCCCTGCTGTCCTCCCGAACCCCGACACCGACCCCCCGGGACCCTGGCTCCCCGGACACCGGGAGCGGCCTGCCCTGCTGTCCTTTGGGACCCCTCTCCTGACCCCCGGGACCCATGGACCCCGGGAGAGGCCCTGCCCTGCTGTCCCTACACTCGCCTCTGGGACCTGGACCCCGGAACCCCGACCCTGACACCCCGGGACCGGGACCCCCTACTCCCCGACCCCGGGAGCGGCCTGCCCTGCTCTCCTCCGGGACCCCGATACCCCGACACCCCAACCGTGACCCCCCTGGACCTGGACCCTGACTCCCTGGGACAGGGACTCCCCGACCCCCCTGGACCTGGACCTGGACCTGGACCCTGAACCCCCGGGATCCCAACCCTGACCCTGACCCCGACCCCCTGGGACTGGGACTCCCTGACTCCCCGCCCCCGGGAGCAGACCTGGACCCTGGGACCCCGACACCCCGGGACCCCAATGCCAGGAGAGGCTCTGCCATGCTGTCCTCCGGGAACCCGACCCTGGCCCCCCACGGGACCCCTGGACCCCGGGAGCAGCTTGCCCTGCTGTCCTCCGGGACCCTGACCCCCCTGGACTCTGGGAGCGGCCTGCCCTGCTGTCCTTCGGGACCCCTCTCCTGACCCCCGGGATCCCTGGACCCCGGGAGAGGCCCTGCCCTGCTGTCCCTACACTCGCCCTGCCGTCCCGTCTGTGGTTGGTGGAGCGAAGGTCTACGTTCCTTTGGCCCCGGGCGGGTGTGCGCTGGGCCCTTCCCGCAGGAGGCAGGTGGCCGGGCCTGGCTCTGCCAGTGTTGAGTTTGCAGCCTTGGGGTGTGCGTGAGGCCCAGCTGGACAGGGCAGGGCAGACTGCGGGCCTGGACAGCATCCTGAGCCCGGCTGTGTGGGGGTCAGGTGAGGCTGCTGCCTAGGTGGACGGGCCTGGCCCTGCCAGTGTTGAGGTTGCAGCTTTGGAGTGTGCAGGAGACCCAGCTGGGGCAGGGCAGGGCAGGGCAGCCGAGGCTGCTGCCCAGGTGGCCGGCATCTGGGGGAGTGAGCCAGCTCATAGAAGAGGTAGTACTTGCTCTTTTTCCAGTCAGTCTTTTCAAGGGCTGTTTTTCTAGTTTTAAAAGACTGAAGGTGCTTGCTTGGCTCTCAAAGATGAGCTGTAGGGCGCTGTTGAGGCCTCCATTCCAGGGCAGCAGTTGGGGCCACTGGACGGGGGCCCTGTGAGTGTGGCCGCTGGCAAGGCATTACTGGCACTGCCCGCTCCTTGAGGCGTGCAAGGGCTGGGGTTTCTTTATTGGGGAAAAAAGAGGTCCAAGACAGGGTGATCTTGCCCATCCTTCATGTGAGAGTGTAAGCCCAGGTGTTCAGTGTTCGTGTGTCCCGGGTGTTCACAGTGTTCATGGGAGAGAGCGTGCGTCCCGGGTGTTCACAGTGTTCATGTGTGAGCGTGTGTCCCAGGTGTTCACAGTGTTCATGTGTGAGAGTGTGTGTCCCAGGTGTTCACAGTGTTCATGTGTGAGAGTGTGTGTCCCAGGTGTTCACAGTGTTCATGTGAGAGAGCGTGTGTCGCAGGTGTTCACAGTGTTCATGTGAGAGAGCGTGTGTCCCTTCACAGTGTTCATGTGTGAAAGCGTGTGTTCCGGGTGTTCACAGTGTTCATGTGTGAGAGTGTGTGTCCCAGGTGTTCAGCCTCCTGAGCTTTCTGCCCTGAGCACAGCTGTGGCCCCCTGCTAAGAAACACAATATTCTTGCTGGTCCCCAAGATTCCCCATTAGGCTCCTGACCCCGACCGTGTGTTACCTGCTTCTGTGCTTCATTTTGGATCCTCCTTGTTCCCATGGAGGCTGTGCAGGGGCCGGCAGTTCCCTCACCCACAGCAGCTCCAGAAGGAGAGAGGGAGCAAGGCCTCTGTGTGTGTGGGTCACTCTCCAGGTGGCCATGGAAGCCAGGAGCTCCTTCCACGTGTCCCCCATGGGTGCAGCGGCCCGAGGACTTGGGCCATCCTTAGCTGGCTTCCCAGGCTGCAGCAGGGAGTCTGATGGGAACAGAACCAGCACCCATAGGGGTGCCAGTGTCTCAGGTACGAATTGCCCACTAGGCTGGAAGCTGCCTTTGTGAGCACACTGGCCGCTTGTGCACGTGTGTCTACTGGCCCGACCTGGCCATGGAGGACAGGGCAGTGCCTTTCCCTGTTGCTCTCCATTTGAGCTTCCTAGGAGTGTCATGTGGTGTTCCAATGGGTTTTGTGTGCAGGACCAGCTGGGCACTTCACGTGTCCACGCTTTGCACGGTCCTTCTCCCTGGCTGTTTGCCTTTTTCCAGATGTATAAGGGTTTATGTATGTGCCTCTGGGAATGTGAACCATCTGCTGGAAACAGACAAGACAGGTTTAGGCCGAAACCCGGGGAAGGATTTACCAGCTGAGAAGGGAAAGTTCATCTCCTGCATTCCAAGGAAAAGACCGGATCTTCATCTGGACCCCCTGATCACAGCAGCGAAGTGGGGGCTTGGCTGGTGATGGGCGTTTAAGAACCTGCCCAGTGTGGTTTCCAGCTCCTTGGAGGTGGGCGCCTGTCGCAGGTTCTGGAACCTCGGGCTCTGCGGTTTGGGTAAAGATACAGCTTTCTGGTCCCAGCGTGCTGGCCTAGCACCTAAAGTCCTCACCTTGAGCATGCTGGGATCCCGTATGGACCCCAGTTCTAATCCCAGCTGCTCTACTTCCCATCCAGCTCCTTGCTTGTGGCCTGGGAAAGGAGTAAAGGACGACCCAGAGCCTTGGGACCTGCACCCGCGTGGGAGACCTGAAAATGGCTCCTGGCTTTGGATTGGCTCAGCTCCAGCTGTTGCGGTCACTTGGAGAGTGAATCATTGGATGGAAGATCCTGCTCACTGTCTCTCCTCTTCTCTGTAAATCTGACTTTACAATAAAAATAAATTAAAAAAAGAAAAACGCAGCTCAGGAGTCTTTACTGAGTGGCTGGTGCCAAGTGGCAGAGGGTCATCCAGTTCCACCACACGTGGAAGCAGGAGCAGCCTGATCAGCCATATTCAGACCAGGGGTTCTTTTTTTTATTTAAAAGATTTATTTATTTTTATTGGAAAGTCAGATACAGAGGAAGATCTTCTGTCTGATGACTTACTCCCCAAGTGACCACAGTGGCCGGAGCTGCACTAATCTGGAGCCGGGATCTCTCCGGTCTCCAGGCGGGTGCAGGGCCCCAAGGCCCTGGGTCGTCCTTGACTCCTTTCCCAGGTCACAAGCAGGGAGCTGGATGGGAAGCGGCGGCGCTGGGATTAGAACTGTTGCCCATATGGGATCTTGGCATATGCAAGACAGTAGTTAAGCTGCTAGGCCACCGTGGCCGGCCGGGTTCTTAAGCAGTGAGCTTTCAGTCAGCTGGAGTGGCAGGGGCCCCAGTGTGAGCATCCAGTCAGGAACATCCCACCACAGAACCAGGTAAACTGGTCCTTCCTATTCTATTGACAGAAAACAGTTTGGAGCAGTCAGCTTACTTCCTGAGCTGTGAGAAGCAAGGTCTCATCTCCACTTCATTTTAAGGACTTCAAAGAACCCCAGATTATGGATACAGAAGTGTTTCAGAAGACCTGACCTTACTGTCACCATGTCCTAATGTGGAGAGCTGGGGTGGGGTCCCTGTGCCTGACGAGCCCAGCCTTGTCCTGTGGGGTGCCCCAGCGTGCTGTGTGAAGGCCAGCTTGAGTCCTGCTTGGTCACTTCTGGTCCAGTTCCCTGCTAATGTGCTTGCAAAGATGGCAGGAGGTGGCCCAAGGACTTGAACCTGCACCCACATGGGAGCTGGACCAAGCTTTGTCCTGGCTGGTTTGGCCATTTGGAATAAAGCAGCAGATGGTCACCTGCCTCTCGCTCAGTCTCCGTGTCTCCCCCCAACCCCCGTTTGAAAGGCTGAGAGAAGTGTGTGTGTAGACAGCTGTGGTTTATTCCCCAAGTGCAGCTTGGGGTTCCCAGGCCCCAGGGATCTTCTGCTACCCACTGGACAAGCATGTGCTGAGCTGGCAGGTCCAGGAGGGGACACAGGGGGGCACAGGGAGGCTCGGCCCACCGAGCCAGCCGTGGTTCTGACCGGGACTGCAGTGTGCTGTGGTTGGGGCAGCTCAAGCTGCAGTGCGCGCTGGTGATTAACGTCTCTTTGCTGTTCCTGCTCTAGGGTGCTTTGCTTGTGGGATGGAAAATGGATTCCGCGTGTATAACACAGATCCACTGAAGGAAAAGGAGAAGCAAGGTAAGGAATGGGCCGTTCCACTTGCAAGTCACAGTTTTTAAGCTTTATAGAATTTAGAAATGTTCTTTAGAAAAGTAGGGTCATGAGTCGTGATGGGGTGAGACACTTCAGCTTGCAGAGCATCAAATTCTACCTTGCAGGTTGGGGCGAGGCTGGGGGACGCAGGCTGTCTTCCAGAAGTCCACAGGCATCTTGCATGTCCCTGGGAGGTGAAAGGGGGTGGGTGGCAGGCTCGTGGGGTGTCACTAGTGTCTCCAGTCCTGGCATTGCTTGCAGCTGGAAGTGGAGAAAGCCCCATGGCGGGTTCAGTATTGGCACAGAGCAGAGAGCGGTGACAACACAGTTCAGTGTAGTCACAGAGATGCAAGTTTTCAGAAGCTGGAAGCAAGAATTCTAATGGCATATCAAATGGTCATAGGGTTTTTTCCTATATTTCAGAGAACAAGTGAAATTCCAGGGGTAGAATCTTTGTGTTGAGTTTCTACCTTTGGGATTGTCTCGCTGTCTCATCAGCAGGTAGACTCCTGGAGCCGGCACAGCGTGTTCTGCGTGGCTCTGGTTAGCACCTGGTAAAGTCATTCTAGAACTGCTGGTTGTGTCGGGTGGAGTTGCATCTGGAGTGTCCTGGGGCTGCACTAAGCGGGCCCTTTCCATATTTATTTATTTTATTTATGACCTTTTTTAGCAAGTCGTGTATCCTGTTCAGGGTTTTTTGGGGGAATTAGGGCAGCAGAACCCTTTTTCAAGTGGGCTCTGATGTGGGGTGTCCGCCGTGAGGAGCGCTCTGAATCCGGAGTTGCCTGCTGGGCTCCCTCACGCTGATTTATTCTAGAAAGACTGGGTCCACATTGTGCAGACTGGAGTTCTGATTTGCTGCTGAAGGAGCTGCTATGTGATTGGGCAGGTTTCCGGAGCAGACATCGGGCAGTGTAGTAACAAGTACTTCCTGCTGAACTGCCTTCCCTACATTTGTAAGTTCTTATAAAGATAGACAAGAAGCATCTGAAACTGTCAAGTTCCGGAAAAGTAGGCTCTGTCCTGCAGGGCTCCCGGGGCTGCTGCCCGGCTTCTCACAGCAGGCTGTTGGCGCTCTGTGTGCTGAGCCATTGCGCGTGTCCCCGCGTGGCGAGGCTTTGCCTGGTCTCCATGTGCTGAGCCATTGCGTGTGTCCCATGGGCTGAGCCATTGCGCGTGTCCCCGCGTGCTGAGCCATTGTGTGTGTCCCCGTGTGCTGAGCCATTGTGCGTGTCCCCGCGTACTGAGCCATTGTGTGTGTCCCCGCGTGCTGAGCCATTGCGCGTGTCCCCGCGTGCTGAGCCATTGCGCGTGTCCCCGCGTGCTGAGCCATTGCGCGTGTCCCCGTGTGCTGAGCCATTGCGCGTGTCCCCGCGTGCTGAGCCATTACGCGTGTCCCCATGTGCTGAGCCATTGTGCGTGTCCCATGTGCTGAGCCATTGTGCGTGTCCCCGCGTGGTGAGCCATTGTGCGTGTCCCCGTGTGCTGAGCCATTGTGCGTGTGTCCCCGTGTGCTGAGCCATTGTGCGTGTGTCTTCATGTGGAGAGGCACTGCCCGTTCTCCGCGTGGCAAGGTACATACCTCCAAATTGTAGTTTGCCTTTGTTCTGTTACATGCCTTTTGGTGCACGAAGATTGTTAAGTTTGGGGTTCCTTTTGTCTGCACTGTGACTTACTTGCAGTTGGCTTTGTGTATGGCATAGGATACAAATGCAGCTCATTGTTTTGCATGTGGCATATGGCTTTCCTGGCGTTTTGAGCCTTTCAGATGTCAGTGGGAGAAACGTGCTTAAAATGATGAAAGAGCTTCTGGTATGCCTTCTGAGACTGGATAGTTTGCTTTATTCTTTTTTTTTTAAGATTTATTTTTATTATTTTTTTATTGGAAAGGCGGATATACAGAGAGGAGAGACAGAGAGGAAGATCTTCCATCCGATGATTCACTCCCCAAGTGAGCGCAACGGCCGATGCTATGCCAGTCCGAAGCCAGGAGCCTCTTCCGGGTCTCCCACGCGGGTGCAGGGTCCCAAAGCTTTGGGCCGTCCTCAACTGCTTTCCCAGGCCACAGGCAGGGAGCTGGATGGGAAGCGGGACTGCCGGAATTAGAACCGGCGCCCATATGGGATCCTGGGCGTGCAAGGCGAGGACCTTAATCACTGCGCCACCACGGTGCTGGGCCCTGCTTTATTCTTTAAAAAAAAAAAAAAAGATTCATTTATTCTACTTGAAAGAGTTACAGAGAGGAAGGTGGGAGGGAGAGAGACGAAACAGAATTTTCCATCCATTAGTTTCCTCCCCAAATGACCGTGACTGCCAGAGCTGAGCCCATCAGGAGCCAGAAGCCTCTTCAGGGTCTCCCACACGGGTGCCGGGTCCCCAGGCTCTGGGCCATCCTCCTGTGCCTTCCCAGGCCACTGGATGGGAAGCGGGGCTGCCGGGACACAAAGCAGTGCGTACAGGGGATGCCCGCGTCACAGGCAGAGGATTCATGTGGCTCCAGCAGTGTTCAGCTCTCCGGTTGCGTCTTCAGTATGGCCCGGGGTCCTTGATGCACTTTGCTAAGCTGGTATCTTTGGGCCGTCCACGTCCGCAGCGTGAGCACTGAGAGCAGGTGACAGTCCCGAGCCCTACACGTCCCGCCTTTTCAGCCAGTCACCTCATTTCTGAGGACTTGAATTGCTGACAGAAATGAAATGCTAAATATTCCATATTTTGACTTCCTTTACTGTAAAATATGTCCCTTTAAAAATTGTGTTTTATACTGTCTTTTCAGAGTTCCTGGAAGGAGGAGTTGGTCATGTTGAAATGTTGTTTCGCTGCAACTATCTAGCCCTTGTTGGTGGCGGGAAGAAGCCAAAGTATCCACCCAACAAAGGTGGGTGGTCATCGCTGCAGGCCCTGGCTCTGAGCTGCCGCACCCTCAGCTTGTCCTGGTCGCGCGGGGCTCCCTGGTGGCCCTGGCAGAGAGCGAGTGGGCTCCGCATTCCCCTGGGCCGTCAGCACGGCCCCAGTGCCTTCAGAGGCCAGCGGTACGGAGACGGGCGGCCACGGCCGTGGTGGTGACGTCTTCCTGGTGACCTCGTGCCCCCAGCTTGTTGGGTGAAGAGCAGGTGTGTGCCGAGGGGGCTGCAGAGACCGTGAAGTAGCTGCTGGCTGAGGGTCGAGAAAGGCCCAGGTCAGGGCCTTTAGCCTGGACAGCAGCTTAGCGTGCAGCTTAGCGACACGACTGAGAGCCCCAGGGGCTGTGCTGTGGGAAGTTCCAGTCCTGAAGCAACGCACAGGGCAGAACTGGAAGTTCTTGTAGAAGAAGGGATTGAAGTGGCTTGTTAGAGGGGAGTGTTGAGGCGGTGGGGGGCTGGGGGCTTAGAGGAGTTCACGTGCTGGAAGCCTGAGTCCAGCTGTGTCATGGGACTCCAGCCTGGGAAGGGAGTGGCTCCTGGTGCCCCCTGAGCTGGCGTCGGGGCTCTGGGGCACACACGGTGCCCCCTGAGCTGGCGTCGGGGCTCTGGGGCACACACGGTGCTCGGGGTACGATGCCTTGTATCCTGTATGCTGCCACGAGGGCCCTCGCCAGACGCAGTCCCTCAACACTCCTCGGGTACTTTGCTACACCGAGAGAAAGTGCTAAAAGGTGGCCCTCACGGGAAGAGGTACCAGAGTGGTGGGCAAGGCTGAGGCTGAGCGAGCCACAAGGAGTGTTGGCAGGAAACTGGACCAGGCTTTTATTTATTTAAGGTTTATGTATTTGGGGCCCTGCGCAGTAGCCTAGTGACTGAAGTCCTCGCCTTGCACACACCTGGATCCCAGTTGGGCGCCAGTTCTAATCCTGACAGCTCCTCTTCCCATCCAGCTCCCTGCTTGTGGCCTGGGAAAGCAGTCAAGGACGGCCCAAAGCCTTGGGACCCTGCACCCGTGTGGGAAACCTGGAAGAAGTTCCTGGCTCCTGGCTTCAGATCGGCGCAGTTCCAGCAGTTGAGGCCACTTGGAGAGTGAACCAGTGGATGGAAGATCTTCCTCTCTCCTTCTCTGTAAAATCTGACTTTCCATTAAAAATCTTTTTTTTTTTAATTTTATGTATTTTCATTGCAAATACAGATTTACAGAGAGGAGAGACAAAGGGCTGTCTGCTGGCTTGCTCCCCAGATGGGCGCCATGGCTGGAGCAGGTTACTGAAGCTAGGAGCTTCATCCAGGCCTCCCACGTAGGTGAAGCGGCTGCCCTCCACTGCAGGCCACAGCAGGAGCTGGGTGGGAAGAGAGCAGATGGGACATGAACCCGTGCCCATATGGGATGCCAGTGCTTGCAGTAGGGCATTAGCCACTTGAGCCATCACGCCGGCTCCTGAACCAGCATTTGTGATCCATGGTGTAGGCGTCCCAGGCAGCGGCTCGCCCCCTCGGCACAGTGACCTCACTCGTGTGTGACCTCACGCAGTGTGTCTAGCGTTTACCGGTGACTCATCTGGGTCTGGTACTTAAAGTATGTGGAAGTGCTCATTACTGACTTAGCTTTGCTTTTTTTTTTTTTTAAGACTTATTTTTATTGCAAAGTCAGATACACAGAGAGGAGGAGAAACAGAGAAAGATTTTCCATCCGTTGATTCATTCCCCAAGTAGCCGCAACATCTGGAACTGAGTGAAACCAGAGTCAGGAGGCTCCTCCAGGTCTCCCACGCGGGTGCAGGGTCCCAAGGCTTTGGGCTGTCCTTGACTGCCTTCTCAGGCCACAGGCAGGGAGCTGGATGGGAAGAGGAGCTGTCAGGATTAGAGCCGGGGTCCATATGGGATCCCGGCGCGTGTAAGATGAGGACTTTAGCTGCTAGGCCATGATGCTGGGCCCAACTGACTTAGTTTTATTTATTACTGAAGGCAATTTTAAAATAGAACTTGGTCTGATTAGTGTTTTAAGATCAAAAATATATCTTGATAATATAAATTACCAAAATTTTCTCTTAATATTTTAATTACAAGGGAAGCTGTATGATGTTGGTGTAGAAATGATTAGTATCTGTGGTTTGTGGAAAGTTGGGATGGGCTTTGTGGTGCTCGTGTGGGCTCTGCGTCCCGCACTGGAGTCCCTGGGATCAAGTCCCTTCTAATTCCCATCGTGCTTGCCGCCGGTGTGCATCCTGGGGGCTGGGGGCAGCGGTGATCATCCTAAGGCGAGGGACACGGACGGGGCTCCAGGCCCAGCCCTGGCTGGGGTGGGCACGAGGGGAGCAGTGCTAGGTGCCGGAGAGAGAAAATACAAACAAATAAAACGTAAGAACAGCACGCTACCACAAGGCTGAAGGAGCTGGTGCGGCATAAACTGGCACCTTCAGCTGGGGCTCATTGAAGGCCCGAGAAGACAGGGACATCTGCATTTGGTTAGGAAGCTCCGTTCTGTGTGGAACTCCACCTGTCTTGCTGATGTATGCACAAAACATGGACATCCAGGGCAGGAGCTGTGGCTGAGCTCAAGACGCTGGGCAGGAGCTGTGGCTGAGCTCAAGACGCTGGGCAAGGAGCTGTGGCTGAGCTCAAGACGCTGGGCAAGGAGCTGTGGCTGAGCTCAAGACGCTGGGCAAGGAGCTGTGGCTGAGCTCAAGACGCTGGGCAAGGAGCTGTGGCTGAGCTCAAGACGCTGGGCAAGGAGCTGTGGCTGAGCTCAAGACACTGGGCAGGAGCTGTGGCTGAGCTCAAGACGCTGGGCAAGGAGCTGTGGCTGAGCTCAAGACGCTGGGCAAGGAGCTGTGGCTGAGCTCAAGACGCTGGGCAAGGAGCTGTGGCTGAGCTCAAGACGCTGGGCAAGGAGCTGTGGCTGAGCTCAAGACGCTGGGCAGGAGCTGTGGCTGAGCTCAAGACGCTGGGCAAGGCACCTGGGCACCCTTCTGCTCTGGGCTATTGGGACACACGTCTGTGTGTGGGGTCCACGTGAGCCTGGGCTGTCGGGACACGCTTGTCTCTTTGTGGGGTCTGTGTGAGCCTGGGCTGTCAGTACACACATGTCTGTGTGTAGGGTCCGTGTGAGCCTGGGCTGTCGGGACACGCGTGTCTGTGTGTAGGGTCCGTGTGCGCCTGGGCTGTCGGGACACACATGTCTGTGTGTGGGGTCCATGTGAGCCTGGGCTGTCGGGACACGTGTGTCTGTGTGTGGGGTCCGTGTGCGCCTGGGCTGTCGGGATATACATGACTCTGTGTGTGGGGTCTGTGTGAGCCTGGGCTGTCGGGACACGCGTGTCTGTGTGTGGGGTCCATGTGAGCCTGGGCTGTCGGGACACGCGTGTCTGTGTGTGGGGTCCGTTGAGCCTGGGCTGTCGGGACACGCGTGTCTGCCCGTGGGGTCCGTGTGAGCCTGGGCACTCTGATGTCTACTCGTGGGGTCCGCGTGGAGTAGAGCACCGGGTTGGGGTGGGTCTGTGCCCCTGCGTGAGGATGTTGCTGCCTGGTCAGGGGAGTTGTGCCTGAGTGTGTTAGTTCTTGCATACCTGCTGTTGTCTGGAGGGTGACTGTTGGCAGGGGAGGGGCTGTGCTGTGGCCATTCCGAGCTTTCCGAGACCACGTCATCCTTGCTAGGTGATGTTTTCACGGAATGAATATAAAACTGGCTGGTTTTGAGTGGGTGTGGCTCTTAGCTGGCCCCGGTGCAGTGCTGCAGTGCAGTTTGGTTGCTGCACGTGCAGTACCACATTACCTTTAATTTGAAGTTTAAGGTCACTTAGTCCATTCAGACAGACCCCATGGTATGCGGTAGTTATGCCCTTGGGCCCTGTGTGTAACCAGCCTTTTCTGCAGGTCACCTGCACACGGTGCCTTTTTTCAGCAGGGAAGACAGGAAGCCTGTTGGTTTTCTGAAGCCTGGGCTCTGCTTCCTTGGAGACCCACTGTGAGTGCTGTAGGGTTGGTCTGAGTGATTCTTGGCACAGCCCCACCAAATGATCATGCCAGAGGTCTCTCAGGTGCAGGGTTGGGGTGTGATGGGAGGGACCCCGTCTCTCATCCATCCAGGTGCAGGTTGGGGCACGGTGGGAGGGACCCCGTGTCACATGTGCAGGTGCAGGTTGGGGCACGGTGGGAGGGACCCCGTGTCACATGTGCAGGTGCAGGTTGGGGCACGGTGGGAGGGACCCCGTGTCTCACATGTGCAAGTGCAGGTTGGGGCACGGTGGGAGGGACCCCGTGTCTCACATGTGCAGGTACAGGTTGGGGCACGGTGGGAGGGACCCCGTGTCACGTGTGCAGGTGCAGGTTGGGGTGTGATGGGAGGGACCCCGTCTCTCATCCATCCAGGTGCAGGTTGGGGCACGGTGGGAGGGACCCCGTGTCACGTGTGCAGGTGCAGGTTGGGGCATGGTGGGAGGGACCCCGTGTCACGTGTGCAGGTGCAGCAGCTGTGACCCTGCACTGTGGCCTGTTTATTACAGTGATGATCTGGGACGACCTGAAGAAGAAGACTGTGATTGAGATAGAATTTTCCACCGAAGTGAAGGCGGTCAAGTTGCGGCGGGATCGGTAGGTTGGGCAGCCGTTTGCACAGATGACCACGATGCAGATTCCAGCGCGAGTTGGAGCAGGCTTCCGGCCTGGCGGCTGACAGGCCTGCACCCGCACGCCAGCCTGCCAGCTGCCTGTCCTGCTGGCGTTGCCGCCGGAGGGTCCTGACTCCTGACGTGGTCCCCAACCCTGGCTGTTGGGGCAGTTAATTACCTCACCACCAGACGGGGAATCTCTGTGCCTTTCGGACAAAGTAAGTGAACATTCAAGACAGAAGGATGCTGCTGGCTGTCACTTCTGACGCAGCGGATGCAGAGGGGACTGGCCCCTAGCCTCAGGCCTCCCTGGCAGGGGCAGTACTGTGCCCACACCGGAGGGTGAAGGAGAATCGAGCTCCCTGGGGCTCCATTCTTTTGGATTTAATGTGGTGTGCTCGCAGTTTGTGTTGCTCAGCTGGGAGAAGCCAGAAGGCCCAGCATGTCAGTGCAGCCCTTCGTCTCTGCTCCCCAGGGACACTCTGAATCCCACACCGTGTGGGCCAGGAAAGAGGGTGAAGGCTGAGGTTCTCCTGCTTGTGGCAGCATCTCTGAAGCTCAGACAGTTCTGGGGTCGGCCCCGGACCGGGGAACTCACTGGGCTCACTGGGCCTATGTGACCCACGGGGACTGTGGGCAAGGGCTTCTCCCTGACGGGGCGCTTTGAGCAGAGCTTTCCTCAAAAGCCAGCTGTCTGACCTTCCCTTTGCAGAATCGTCGTGGTTCTGGATTCGATGATCAAGGTGTTCACGTTCACTCACAATCCCCATCAGCTGCATGTCTTTGAGACATGCTACAACCCTAAAGGTAAGCCGGGGCGGTTGACGGCACGGGGTGCAGGTGGGGGCCAGAGCTGAGCCGCTCACACACTCGGGGGCACGGGGTCTCCTCTCTGCTGCAGCTTGGATCCTGGTTCCAAAGTTCCAGGTCGTTAGCCAGGCAAAAGTTGGACGTAAACCCAAGAATCCACAATTGCATGTTGCTCTCAGCCGTTTCCACTTGGGGACGGAGCTCTGGGCTTGGTGGAGTCCCTGCCTCTGGACTGGGGAATTGCTTTGTGCTGACTGTCGGTGGTGTATCGGCTTTCTGTCTTTTGAAAATGTTAGGTTCCCCCCTCGCTTGGGGAGGTTTATATAAAGCAGAGCAATATCCTGTGATGGGTTGGTAAGAAGGCACGGAATAGTCGGTCACCTCAGATAGCCAAGCAGTCCCCTGCCCCCGGGCCTCCCAGCTGGCCTTTCTTAGAAGTATGGAACTCCCCACATTGTGCATGGGGAAGGGTTGTGCTCGTTTTGAATGCTGAATGATGCTCTGTCATTGGGTTGGCCGCAGTTGTGCATCTGTCACTTTCCTGGCTACTGTGAATAAACCTGGATTTCACCTGCTGGGGCCGAGTGGGGCTGATTGGCTCTGTCCCGCAGAGACACGTGTGACAGGCAGGTGCGCTGCGGGGCAGTGCTGTGGCGTGGGAGTCGCTGGCCGGAGTGTGGGTATGGGCGTCCTTCCCGGCTGCCTGGGGCCGTTCCCCAGTCCTCGCTGGGAGGCTCTGCAGGTGCCCCCCTTCCCCTTGCTGACAGAGTTCCACCGCGACAGGCACATTCTGCTGCATGTTTTCAGCCTGTGACATTTGCATATCGGAGGTGCCTTTATGTTCTAATAGAGTGAGATCTCTTGTGATCCATTTTAAGTTTGTTTTTGTAGCCGGTGTTTGTCAGAGACCCAGGATTATGGTTTGGATTTCTTGGTGGCTCTGACATTGGCGAGATTCCAGCTGTTTGCTCAGGGAGCTCCTCTGGGTGCCAGGGATGCTGGATGGTGGGTGTCTGAGCCGTGGCCTGCAGCTCCGGGCTCAGTTCTCCCTCGTGCTCAGCTCATTCACTCTGCCTGCCCCTCTCCTGCTCAGGGCCTATGTTTGCATTCATTTGGTGTCATCTGTTTGGAGAGGCTGGGTGTCGTTGGGCTGGTGTGGGCTGGTGTGGGTAGTGTGGACTGGTGTGGACAGTGTGGGCTGGTGTGGGCAGTGTGGGCTGGTGTGGGTTGGTGTGGGTAGTGTGGACTGGTGTGGACGGTGTGGGCAGTGTGGGCTGGTGTGGACAGTGTGGGCTGGTGTGGGCAGGGTGGGCTGGTGTGGACAGTGTGGGCTGGTGTGGGCTGGTGTGGACAGTGTGGGCTGGTGTGGACTGGTGTGGACAGTGTGGGCTGGTGTGGGCAGGGTGGGCTGGTGTGGACTGGTATGGACAGTGTGGGCTGGTGTGGGCAGGGTGGGCTGGTGTGGGCTGGTGTGGGCAGGGTGGGCTGGTGTGGGCTGGTGTGGACAGTGTGGGCTGGTGTGGGCTGGTGTGGACAGTGTGGGCTGGTGTGGGCAGGGTGGGCCGGTGTGGGCATGTGGGGTCTCCCAGGCCTGCCTGTCAGGACTTTTGGCCGTCACATAGCGCTAATCTCACGGGTAGGCCTCATGCATCAATAGACTGTGTACTTTGGGTTTCTTTTGCTATTTGTATTTCTGTGCTGCTGTTAACGGTGCAGGTGTGGCCGTGCGTTCTCCATTCTGCACGGCGGTTGCTGACACGTCCGCAGATGACGCTGGGGAAGCGCGGCCTGTGGGTTTGGTGTCTTAGGTTGGTCTGCAGCCTGATGCCACCAAGGAAGCCTCAGGATGGCTGAGGGTGCTGGGCATGAGGGAGAAGTTTGGCGTCAGCTCTCATTCTGTCTCCGGCTAGGCCTGTGTGTCCTGTGCCCCAATAGCAACAACTCACTCCTGGCCTTTCCGGGGACACACACGGGTCACGTCCAGCTGGTGGACCTGGCCAGCACCGAGAAGCCACCCGTGGACATCCCCGCACACGAGGGTGTCCTCAGCTGCATCGCGCTCAACCTGCAGGGCACGAGGATCGCCACCGCCTCGGAGAAGGTGCGTGCAGCCTCGGCCGCAGGGCCTGGGCGCAGAGGGGCTGCCAAGCCACCAGCCTTCGTTGAGTTGTGTGCGAACAGATGTTGTCAAATGCCATGCAGTTAAATCACAGGACAGCAGGGATGATGTGATGTGTGTGACGAGCAGTGTACATCCGTTAGGCAGCAGGTGACAGCTCAGAACTCTTTCTGGCCTGCCCACAGTTCCTCACTGAATTTTGGTCATATCGCCATCTAGTTTGCCTAATGTGAAATATTCTTAAAAATTTATTTAAAGATTTATTTTTATTGGGAAGTCATATTTACAGAGAGGAGAGACAGAAAGAGCTCTTGTCCCCCAGTTCATTCCCCAAGTGGTCTCAACAGAGCTGAGCCCATCTGGGGCCAGGAGCCTCTTCCTAGTCTCCCATGCTGGTCCAGGGTCCCAAGGCTTTGGGCCGTCCTCGACTGCTTTCCCAGGCACAAGCAGGGAGCTGGATGGGAAGCAGTGCCTCCTAGGATTAGAAGTGGCACCTATATGGGATGGCATGTGTAAGATGAGGACTTTAGCCACTAGGCTACTGTGCCAGGCCCTGAGTTTTTTTTTCTTAAAACCAAAACCAGAATCTGATTTGTAAGTGTACAGTTATCAGTTCACTGAAATCCAGGCAGTGCCTCCCAGCTTGACCTGTGTAAATTGGATCACACTGAGTCTTAGACTGGTTTGTATGGATGGGCTCCAGCCTCTGTATGGGTAGGCAAGCACTGGCCATCCATTAGAAACAGCGCTGGATGGCTGTGGCAGCTGTGCCCCCGTCTCAGTCCCTCAGGGCCCAGGGCCCGGCCGAGCGCCATTCGTCTCTTCAGGAAGTGACTGGCATTCTCCACTCCCACGGAGCAGGCTTCCAGGAGCCGGTACCACCAGCTGTGGGCCGAGCCCCTGGGCCATCCCCTGTGGAGAGGTGCTGCTGCCCCGGCCTGCTTAGGGAGGGACGGGTGCTGTCGGCCAGCTCTCTGCAAACGCTGTCCAAATCCGCCTTCTCTGTAAAGTTCCTCCCTGAGCCCTGGGGATGCCGAGTCTGGCTGGCGCACTTGGCTGACGTGGCCGGCCTGGGATCGTCTCACTGTCGGGCTTTGGCTCTGTGGTGGCCCAGGACGCCCTGACAGAAGGGTGAGCCACAGGAAGGACTCGTCTCCTCGGGGAGCAGCGAAGGGGCTTCCAGATGATGGATTGAAGACATCTCAGGTTGGTAATGAAGCTCTTGGCTCTTCTCCCAGGGGACCCTCATCAGGATATTTGACACTTCATCGGGACAGCTGGTGCAGGAGCTCCGGAGAGGGTCCCAGGCAGCCAACATTTACTGGTAAGGATGGGGGCAGGGGCACGGGGGACAGCACGCTGCCTCACTGCTCCCCTGTTTGTGGAAATGCGTGAGGAAGTAACTGCAGGTCGCCATGCTGACGTGATGCCCGTTGCCACTGGCCGGTTTTGCTCTGTCACCGGCCTTAGTCTACATGCTTGTTTGGGTTTGGTTTTTTGTTTTGTTTTTAGATTTATTTTTATTGGGAAGGCAAATATGCAGAGAGAAGGAGAGACAGAAAAATCTTCCGTCTGCTGGTTCACTCCCCAGGTGGCCGCAATGGCTGGAGCTGAGCCGATCCAAAACCAGGAACCAGAAACTGCTTCCAGGTCTCCCATGTGGGTGCAGGGTCCCAAGACTTTGGGCCATCCTCTGCTGCTTTCCCAGACTGCTAGTAGGGAGCTGGAAGGGAAATGGAGCAGCCGGGATGCGAACTGGCACCCATATGGGATCCTGGCACATGCAAAGTGAGGACTTTAGCCACTAGGTTGCCGCGCCAAGCCCTCTGCATGGTGTCTTTCAGCTCAAGACTGGTTGGCATGTCTGCAGTCTGCGGCCTGTTAGTGGAGAGTGGCTGCCCTGCACAGTGTGTGCTGCTGTCCTCTGGCCCTGCCTGGGCACGACCCCTCACTGCTGCTGTGGCTGTGTTCCTGTGCTGAGGGCTCGTGACAGTCCACACAGGGCCAGGCTTCCTGTGGCCAAGGGGTTCGGCTCGGGACGGCCAGCTCTGAGCTGCGTGTTGAGGGTGATATGTGTGGGACCCCACCCAGAGCAGTGCCGGCACGCTGTGGTATGCCTGTGGCTCCGGCCCCCGGCTCTGTGCAGGGTAAGGTTTGCAGCTCGCAGTTCCTGCCAGCACCCACTTGCCCCCTGGTTTCTTCGCAGCATTAACTTCAATCAGGATGCCTCGCTCATCTGTGTGTCTAGCGACCACGGCACTGTACACGTGTTTGCAGCCGAAGATCCGAAGAGGAATAAGCAGTCGAGGTGGGTGTGCGGGCGGGGATGGGAGCCCGGAGCTGCGGGAGCTCGCTGCCCCATTTCATCTCTCTTGGGGTTTGATAACTGATGCACAGCGATGCCAACGCGGTGGCGCTTCCTGCCCCTGGTCAGCTCTGCAGGGGTGGGCAGGTGGAGAGACGTGAGCGGAGAGTGGATGCTTTCCGAAAACCGTCCAGGCAGGGCTGCCCTCGAGCACCTGGGTCGGGCTGAGCCACGAGTTCTTTCTGTGCTTGCAGTTTGGCATCTGCCAGTTTCCTTCCAAAGTACTTCAGTTCCAAGTGGAGTTTCTCCAAGTTCCAGGTCCCCTCAGGCTCTCCGTGCATTTGTGCCTTTGGAACGGAGCCCAACGCGGTCATTGGTGAGTGCCCCTGCCTGGACGTCCTCCCCTGCCGCCCGGAGGCCAGTGCAGAGGGGTGGCCCTGAGGAGGCGGGCGGCTGTCTGACGCGGCGTCCTTGTGTCCCAGCGATCTGCGCAGACGGCAGCTACTACAAGTTCCTGTTCAACCCCAAAGGGGAGTGCGTCCGTGACGTGTACGCGCAGTTCCTGGAGATGACCGATGACAAGCTGTGACTGGCCACTAGCGAGTGGTCCGTGCTTCCCTCCCCACGGGCTCCCGGGGCTAGTGGCCAGCGCCCTGTGGGCCTCGTCGGGGTGGGGCTGGAGGGACCACCCGGGCCCTTGCTCTCAAAGCCTTCTGCTTTTCTCTGCGGAGGCAGCCCGGGCCATCCTTGGCAGCTCCCTGCGGCACAGCTGTGAGCTGCGCAGCTCAGGCTCGGGCACAGCAGCCGGGAGGCTTGTCTGCATTAGAACCCGCTGTCTTTGCTGAGTAAGCGGGGGCACGTGGGCCACCACCAGCTCACGTGACTTAGAGCTCCGAGCAGTCAAGGGAGAGCTCGCACAGCTTGCTCCGGGAAGGAGGCCCGACAGATGGCCCCCGGGTGAGGTCTCGGCCGCCCTCCCCCCGCCCCCGTTGTCTTTCTGGGGGCTAGGGGAACCTGGTGACCTCCAGTCTCCCCACCCCAGTCGAGCGCCTTTGTGTCACACAGCTGCCAGTCCTGGGCTGTGGGGCACAGCGACTGGGCCTCCGGTGCCCTGCGTGAACTCCCGAGTGTGGGGAGAGGAGCACCCCGGAGCACGTCGGCCGTCTGCCGTCCATGCCCTCGTCGTCCCCCAGGAGAAGTTGCCCTGAAGTTCTGGGGGTGAATGGCACATGCCTTTTTAAAACACTTGGTAACTAAAGTAGGTTACGGGCTCCACATCGTCAATATTTAATTTTCTTGAATTCCGGTTTTGGTTCCAGGTTGCAAACATTTAAAGCCTGTGCAGCCCCTTGACTGTCTTGTAATCTGCTAACTGTTGTGGATTTTGGTGTAAAGTATGCATGCTGCTTTTATGTGTATTTAATCATGACATTTAATTTTGCACACTTATTTGTACTGTTTCTTTTCAATAAAAGTGACTAATTTTGTTGTCCGTGGTACGTGCATTATGGACCCAGAAGTCCTTGTCTCACTGTAGGCTTGGGGAGCGCCCTGTCCCGTGCCTGTCTGCCGGGGCTAGCCTGCGGGCAGGAGGAGCAGGTGGTGTGCCTGGGCACACAGGCCAGTTAGGGCTCGCCGAGCAGAGGCCAGTGGGAGACACCTTCCTGTCTGCAGAGCTGACAACTTTGCAGTTTCCACCTCCGTGGAATCTTGTTTCAGTGTCTTGGCCTGGGCCGGCACCTGACAGGTGCAGGTGAGGGGGCCCAGGCATGCACAGAGCGTGGGAAGCAGTCCGTTTCCTGGCTGGCTGCGTGCTTCTGGTGGCCAGCGTCCTGGCCTGCGGCTCCAGGCCCTGCCCCTCTGCTCTGGCCACCATTTTCCTCCCAGGATTGCTGAGCGTGCCCTGCGTGTCATCCGAGGAAAGCCCCAAACCAGGCCCGTGGAGGGTTCAGGACCTCGCCACCGCCTCGGCTTGGCCCATGCTGGCTGCTGCTGCTTCAGCATGAAGAGTGCGCAACACAGTGGTTCCGGTGGACCGGGATGGCTGGCAGTGTCACCACTCTGGCCACCTCCTTGGGGCTTGCCCAGCCGCAGCGTGCTCGTCTTCCAGGTAGGTCTCGGGGTCTCCTGCCTACCCCCCGCTGGAAGCTCTAGCTTCCCTTCCCAGAGGTCCTGGCTGTGGCCGAGCTGCCCCAGCCCACCTGCACCCTTCTCAGCCCCAGCGCCCTCCTCCCGGCCCTGGCTCTCTGCAGTCTGCAGTCAGAGCACCTCCATTTCCTCTGTGCGCCAGGGCTAACCCTAACTCTTACCTCATCCTGCCTCTTTCTGTAAGAAGCATCTGACTACAACATGTGGAACCGTCCACCTGAGTTTTCAGGTTGGAAAATAGTTACGTTCAGAAAACACGCCCCGAGAAAGAGGAATGGAGAGGAAAAGACAGACCACTGTAACAGCCCAGACTTAAACAGCTCAGTTTTCCAAATAATTTTGGGCAGGCAGAACCCGCTGGTTCTCGGGGGGGGAGGCTGAGGTGGGAGTGCCTGCTGGCCGGCATGCTCTTCACCAGGGCACACGCGCGCACGTGAGTCCAGCTGTGGAGCCGTAGGATGTTTGTATCTCAGCTCTGCCTGTGGAGGTGCCTGTTAGCACCTGACACCTGGCCTCACTCCGTGCTCCAGCTCCAACATCCGGCTCCCATCATGCATTTCTGATAGGGTTGGTAGCTGGATGTGGTGTTTTTGTTTTAAAGGTTTATTTGAGATGGAGGGAGAGCTGTCCAGTTACTGGTTCATTGCCCGCCATGCCTGCAGCAGCCAGGAGCTGCAGCGGTGAGCAGCTGGGTGCGGAAACCCCCGCCCCCGGGTGGCAGCCAGTGTGTTTGGCTAAGCGGATGTAACTATCGCCACAAACGGAAGGATGAACTTCTGTCTGGGTTGCTTTGCCTTTCGAATAAAATGAACTTTTAAAAAAGATTCTTACTGGAAAGAAATTTAGACAGGAGAGAAATCTTGCATCTATCTGCTGGTTCACTCCCCAAGTGGCACAACAGCCGGAGCTGAGCTGATCGGGAGCTCTTCCGGGTCTCCCACGCGGGTGCAGGGTCCCAAGGCTTTAGGCCGTCCTCCACTGCTTTCTTAGGCCACAGGCAGGGAGCTGGATGGGAAGCAGGGCTTCCGGGATTAGAATCGGCGCCTACATGGGATCTTGGCAGTTGACGTGGGTCAGTCAGCTGAGCCGTTGTCCTCGCTCCACGGATGAGCCTTAAAGCCCGCTGACCTCCGATGGCCGAGCCTGAAGCAGCGCTCACCTTGGCGGTTTTCAGTCATTGGCGGCAGAAATGGCTTTCTCGGGTCAGCCTGCACGCTCAGCCCTGGGCACGGCTTCCCAGCCTCCCACTGTGGCGGGTTAGATGGCAGAGCCCGTGTTTTGGTGCCCTGCGTCCACGGGCTCGTGGCTGACGGCACAGGACCGTGGCCAAGTTTAGCCTTTGCACGCAGCTGTGAGCTTTCTTAGCGTTTTTCCTTGTAAATTAACTGGAGTGACAGAAAGGCAGGGAGTTGGATTAGAATTTCCGGGAGGGTATGCAGCAGCCATTGCCCTGACAGGAAGCATTTGCGTGGAAAGAAGCAGTGAGCAGGGACTGGTTCACCAGGCTGCAGCTCCTGACGCTGCCCGCGAGTGCTGCCGAGGCCACCTCCTCCAGGGAGCGCAGTCGGGCACTCTCGGGCACCTCTCCTGCACATCTGGGCTCCACGCAGGTCTCAGCTGAATGTCCTGTGCTTCTGTCACGGCGTGGACTCTGCTGGCTCCCTGTGGCAGGGGCGTGGCCGGGAGAGGTGCCCACGCTGGCTGACTTGGGAACGTCCAGCCACGTGGTCTGAAGCCCGTTTGTGGTGTTGGTGTTGCCACAGGAGACGAACCTGTAACGTGCAGGTCTTGTGTCTCACGTTCGGCCCAGGGATTTTGTGGATTTGGGCATTTTTAAAACTGCCTGCTGTCCAAAATCCAACATCTAGCTGCTCAGTGGGATTTTGCCAGGCAGACGTGGACAGAGAGGTCATACCCAGCGCAGGGCCGATGGCAGAGCCAGTGGGTAGATGATGTGTCCACCTGGGCAGCAGCATGGCCGTGTCATGCTGTGAGACCCCGTGCTGCTGGCTGCAGGGTCACACCCGCTTCTCCAACCAGGCTAGTAGTTCACTGATTTTTTTCCCCCCAATTTTGATTGCTTGCTTTGGATTTGTTTCCTAGTGGAAGGTGGAAACAGATATTAGACCTCTTCCATGGGCCTTCAATGCTGAGGCGCCACGGGAATTCTGCCGGCCCTCTCAGCCCATCGCCAAGCTCCCAAGACTCTGAACTAGTCAGTGAGTTTGAAATGTGTAATTTCTGGGCCCAGCGGCTAAAATCCTCACCTTGAACGTGCCAGGATCCCTTCTGAGCGCTGGTTCTAATCCCGGCAGCTCCACTTCCCATCCAGCTCCCTGCTAGTGGCCTGGGAATGCAGTCGAGGACGGCCCAAAGCCTTGGGACCCTGCACCTACGTGGGAGACCCAGAAGAGGTTCCTGGTTCCTGGCTTTGGATTGGCGCAGCACTGGCTGTTGTGGTCACCTGGGGAGCGAATCATTGGATGGATGGAAGATCTTCCTTTCTGTATATCTGACTTTACAATAAAAATAAATCTGGGCCCGGCGCGGTGGCGCAAGTGGTTAAGGTCCTCGCCTAGCACGCCCGGGATCCCATATGGGCGCCGGTTCTAATCCCGGCAGCCCCGCTTCCCTTCCAGCTCCCTGCCTGTGGCCTGGGAAAGCAGTCGAGGACGGCCCAAAGCTTTGGGAACCTGCACCCGCGTGGGAGACCCAGAAGAGGCTCCTGGCTTCGGATCGGCAAAGTATCGGCCCGTTGCGCTCACTTGGGGAGTGAATCATCGGACGGAAGATCTTCCTCTCTGTCTCTCCTCTCTGTATATCCGCCTTTCCAATCAAAAAATAATAAAAATAAATCTTTACAATAAAAATAAATCTTTAAAAAAAGTGTAATTTCCAAACAAGTATGTTTACTGGTCACAAGTTTTATTTTCAGAGAACTATGTGAAAGGTGGAAAATGTATTTATTTTGCAACTGAAACTTTGATCCCAAAGATTCTCACAAAAATATATTACAAATGGAAACGGCGTGCACGGTAACCGGGAGCTGAGCTCCACAGGCACGCCCGCTGCAGGACGTCGGCGTCCGTTGGACCTGCAGCTTGGCAGCGAGGACCGCGCGCCGGCAGCTGGATCACCTCTCCCAACGCTGGGTGAGCGCAGCTCGGGTTCGGCAGTGTGGCCTCTACTGACATCATGTTGGTCTAAGCAGCGTTCCCCCCCACCCCGGGAATGAAGTTTCCTGTTTCTGGGACCAGTGCTGTGGCATCGAAGATGCTGGGATCCCATGTGGGCCCTGCCTCCCACCCAGCTCCCCGCCTGTGGCCTGGGGACCCTGCACCATGCGCGAGAGCCCGAGGAAGCCATTTGAGGCAGAGGCTGGAGGTCTCGGAGCACAGGCCCTCGCTGGGCCGGACGCCTCGTCCCTTTTGGCGCCTCAGAGGGACGCCTGGCACGTTGTCAAAGTCACCAAGACGACGGTGATGCTCTGCGCTCAATTAAAACTGCTAAGAAACACAGTATGAGATGTCAGAACCCCAGCTGCCCCCGGGCTCTGGACCAGATCGCCCGCTGGCGCAAGCAACGCGGCCCCGGCCATGGCAAGGCTCAAGCGCCCCCGGGGAGACCCCAGTCCAGGGCAGGGGCTAGGCCACAGCAGAGGCCTCGGAGATGGGAAGGAATGGGGTGCGGTGGCTCCCCCACCCCGCGGTCTGCACAGTGGATCCCTGTGAGCACGAGGCTGGGCAGGAACCTGAGGTGGGTCTTGAACCTGGATCCCAGAGGTGCCCCAGCCCCGCCCGTGCCTAGCGCTGCCTGTGTCAGTCTCCCTGCTCGCCACGCCGCAGCCCTGTGGACCCGACGTGGACCCGACGTGTACCCGACAGCGAGACACGTCACCTCGCTCCCGGCTGGGCAGAAATCCGGCTCCTGTGCAGTATTTCAGGGTTTTAATATGCATCGTGTGCGGTAACATCGTGACAGCCACACTGTGGGTGGACACACAATACTTAGAACAGATCGGTCATATTTGGTCTTTATGTAAATAATAAATGCTTAAAAATTGCCTAAATATACCATTCTGAGCTGTTCATTCCACCAGGAAAATACAGGTTTTTTTTTTTTCCTCTCTTAAAAAAAAAATTTAAATACCAAAATAACTACATTTCAATAAATAACGTTATGGTGATGACATTTAAAAGCTCCCACTAAGGCTAAAGCCCCCGTTCGCTGCTCGGCCCCCTCGGCCTCCCCTCGCCCACACCCACCCTCCGGGGGCACAGCTGCCCTGCTCCCCGCCAGGGAGCCCACCTGCCTGGCCCGCTCCCACAGGACACAGAATCA